ATATCTGATCGACCTTCGTTTGCAGATGCGCCGGGCAGGATTCTATCCTGACAGGGAACTGGAGATGACCTATAAGAACATGCTGCCGGAATATCCATCGTACACCTGGAATCAGAATTTCCGCACGCTGGCAGAGTTGACCCACCACGTGACCAACTACGAGAGACACGCAGCCGAGGCGGGCGAACGCCCAAAAACCGCATCTCGAACCACCGTCAGGCCACAGGAGCCAGCTACAACGACGGAGCCACCCTCAACACTCAGCGAACACGAGGAGTCACACACCGCCGCGAAACAGAACCCTCTTCGTACCTCCAAGGATGACGTCGAGCAAACGCCGGAGCAGAACCCGCCCCTATGCGGAACCGTCAACTCTGTGAATCATCCTATAGAGAACCACGTCTCGTACCAAGCAGAGGGAGCCGAGACGCAGAAGCTGGCCAAGTTCGATACGAAAAGAATGGCGAAGTCTGCATGTGCGTGGACTATCGCCAGCTTAACGAGAACTCCGTACCAGACGCCTATCCGCTTCCGAGGATCCATCAGATCTTGGAACGGCTTCGGAACGCGCAGTTCATTTCGACGATGGACCTAAAGGACGGGTATCGGCAAATCCCAGTGGCCCCGGACATCCGGGAGTGCACAGCATTTACCGTCGCCGGTAAGAGATTGTTTTACTTCACTCCGCCCTTGCCACGTTTCAACGCGCCCTAGACACCGTCATCGGTCCGGATATGGAACCTCACGTGTTTGCATATCTGGACGAAAACATCGTCATAGGCTTTACACTGGAGGAGCACGTCGCCAATCTAGGAGAGGTTTTCAGACTTTTCCGCATGAAACATGGAGACCACCGAAGAACATGCAGCTGCACATCTCAGGAAGCCGACGTCGACGGACCTGAGCCAGGTAAAGCCTAATCACCACAACGAAGATATAGACACCGAGGCCGGAACACACGACGAGGAAGCAGACCCCGGAAGCAACGCACATGACGGCCACCAAGACGCCAAGGACACCATCCAGGACGCACAGCCAGACGTCGAGACCACAAGGCACGGGATATCCACTCCGAGCCGCCAGCACTAATGACAAGCGCCGCGCCAAGAAGGAGGAGATTATGTTTTCGTAGGGCGGACAGGCGCGCCTGTCCAACGCTTCGAATCCCTAGTGGATTGAACATAAGTCAAGCCAATACTAGCCCACTCCGTTAGGTAGGGCCCATAAGGACAGTCTAATATAGTCTTCTCTATTCTTAAGCCTAGTACTCTGACGCAAAAAACCCGCTGTAACATGTGTTATAGCAGAAACGCTATATAATTTGCTCGGTAACCAGTATGAAAATTAAGGAAAAGCCATGAAGCGCCATGAGAATGAACCTTTTAAGGCGTTTAATGCTTTTCTTTGCTTACACTGAACAGCTAGCTATTTGTAAACAAATTTGTTAATAAATATGGCAATAAAATGCCCTTTGTGGGTTGAGTCCCATATTATGGGCTTGACAGTACTTATCAAGCCACTTTTTTTCCTTCAACTTTCCCTCCATTAAGCCTGTAAGAATAAATAAAATGAATTAATGTTATACCACGATATCAGCTATTTACTCTCTTGATCTGGAACGCCATTCAATTTTCGCAGGTATCATTTTCGTCGTCAGAGTACCCGCAAAATCGACAAGGCAAAAAGTTCTTCTTCTTCATTTTTCACGCCGTTTATTGTATATGGAGTTTGGCAGCTATAACACATGTTACAGTGGATTTTTGTCGTCAGAGTACTAGGCTTTTAAGTCGAAGACTTCATCCGGTCTACCGAGAGGCACGACGACTAGCACCCAACGTCAACGTGCGAGCAACGCCTTTGCCGAACCTCGTTCCGCTAAGAACGCCCACCAACCTGGACATAGACGACTCCGGCCGCCCATTGACCATCGCGTGGCCGAGCTGTCGTGGATGCACGCCGCGGCCGATGACCTTCTCCGAGCGCTCCATGAGGAGTAGCGCTCCCCTCCAGGAGTAGCGCAGTGGGGTTGTGAAAATAAGTAAAAAATATCGTATCGATGATATATAATTTTTTAGAAAAATATCAAAACACCTTTTTTTTTGTCTAAAACCTCAAAATATTGATTTTCTTTTAGTTTTTAATATTTTTCATTTATATTATTTATTTATATATTAAGAGAACATGTCATTTTCATGAGATCATAAGATAATTTCAATAAAGTAAGATAACTCTTTAGCATAGCATATAATTCTCATGAGATCACTTTAAGGGGGGGGGTTAACTTAATGAATTAAATTTATTATATTATATTATTATAACACAACATATAACACGTAACATTTGAACAATTTTTGATAAATGTTGTATTCCAAAATACGTAGAGAAGTTATAGGAAATATTCCGTGTCGCCTCCAAAAAAAGTTGGTTTGCGGTGTAGATCCTAACTGTCCACAAAATCATCCGATCTAAGAAAACTATACCTCATTCGTTAAAGGATAGGTGCCCCGAGGTACTCACGTGGCGTTCTTATTTTAACACGTTTTTTTTTCCGATTTTTAATAAAAATTTGAAGTCAAAACGCCGATTTTTGGCTAAAATATTAAATTAATTTGATAAATTAAAAATATAATAAAATTAAAATTTTAAAAATTTTAAGAATTATCTAAAGAAGTTATGTTCCAAATTTCAAACCGATAGGTTTAAAATTTTTAGTTATCGTGTTATTTTTAAAATGGAATTTTTCAGGAGAGCACAAAGTTTACTTTGTGATGCTCATGCATTGAACACCAACCGACCTTCGTTCAACTCTGCATAACTTCGTCAATTTTCCTATGATCGATGTAAAACTTGGACACAATATTCTTAAGATATTGAGCCTTTAAAATAATAAATAAAAACAATTATTAAATTTACAGAACGTATCATAAAATAATTTCAATAAAGTAAGATAATAGTACATCGTTCAGATATAATTTTGATTCGAAATTTCCAAAGTTTTTAGTTTAGATCGTTGAAAAAACATTTTTGGCAATAATGAAAGAAAAAGAATTCTCCCATTATATCCAAAAATGTTTTTTTTTTAACGATTTTAAGAAAACGTGTTGCATGACGTGGACGTCAGTCCGCGCATACGACGCATTTTATCGCAGAGGCCAGCCTCTCTGATGGCCCTGAACTACCTGGAGTTATGAGGTAGCTCATGGCAAGTTGATACAATCCTGGGAAAGTGTCTCTTTGAGACAGCCAAAACGTGAGACGATCACTTTCCCTCCCTCACTTTATGGAAATATCAAAAATATGTCCCTGAAATATATCGATTTTCGATATATCAGTTTAAAAAAATAGCAAGATATAAATATATATTTTTATTCAAAAAATATCGATCAATTGATATTTTGATATATTTTTCACATCCCTAGGGCGCAGGGCATTGGCACCGATGGAGTGGTGGCAAACTCCCCTTGCCTCTCTTCGGGTCGGCCCCATCCGGCAGCGACACCTCCTACCGGAGGTCGCAAGAAACCGCGACGACGACAAGGACGTGGACCTGGATGACCGATTCGGGCCCATCCGGATCGAGCTCATTCCGCCCCGATAGCGCGAGGAGGGCAACAGGGAGTCCCCACCCTGGAACCACTTTTCCTGGGGTAGCGTGGAGGACATCCTAGCCAACGACGATGACTCACTACCGGATGGTAGTCGTCACCGACGACGAGGGCAGCGACAGCGACGGAGTTCGGCGCTACGACCCAACAGCCGACGAGGACGGCGACGGCGGCGACGGCGGCGTGACCCCCGCTACAACCCGACCGCAGAAGACGGCGACGAAATCTGAGAGAGCCACTCCCCACGGCTGGTCCCGATCATCAAGAAGCGCACGACCAGGACCCCTCCGAACATGGGCGAGGTGGAGGCTGCATGCTTCGGCCAACTGCAGGAGGACTTGCTTGACCTTTGGCCCACCGGGAGTCAGCCATCTCCCACCGGTTCCCCTGAACCACTGGGTGCAGCCGACGAGGATGGCCCAGTTTGGGACAGCGGGGATCGCAACGCGATCGCCACCCCCGCGATAGTCACCAGCAACCACCAGTCACGATAGATCTCCACCGCCTTTATATGAGGAGATTTTCGGGACAAGACTGCACCGGGCCCCACTACACAGCCCTATGCGCGGCAGTATCACCACTGAGTGGCCAACGACCGCGACTGCCCACCGTAGCCGAGCTTGCGGCAGAGGACCTAAGCGAGGAGCTGGGTAACCCCTCGGATGCCCACGGGCAGCTATTCCAAGACGACGACCCACCGCCGCGGGTTCCAAATCGCAGAGCACGACGCCGAAGTGCACCCTGGCAGACAGCCGCAGCAGCTCATCCGAGGAGGAGATCTCGCCGGGTGCCGGCGAGGAAGACAGCGGAGGAAGCAGGACGGTTCGTGGTTCCCCCCGCTGGGTACCCGCACCGTCGGGATGGACGACGCCAAACGGCACCCTATCAGCCGCCTTATGCCACCGGATTTAGGAGCGCCAGAACAGACCGCGACGTCGCACGATCCACTTCCTGGAGGAGGACGGTCACGGGCATAGGAAAGATTGGGAAACGACAAAACTATAATTTCACTGTTTTTCCACATATTTTCATCTACTTCTATCTATTTTTTTTCAGGGAAATCTAAAATATAGTTGTTTTATACGATTTAAAACAACGTTTTATATTCTGAATGATCCAATTGCAAACTGCCAGGGTAAACAAAACTTCGGCATGCCGAAGTTAGCTTTCTTTCATGTTGTTAATAAAACACTTTTTTTGGGTCGTTCCCTTTACAGCTGAAGTTCAGTAATTCAGTCGTCAAGGTAATACCCAGACTATTAGAGATTACCGATTTTATTTGTTATGCATAGTCGCACAACCAAAACATTGATGGGCGATTTTAATTAAATTAAATATACTTTATCTATTAAAGAAAGAAATTTCTGAAGAATAAATATATTTTTCTCTATATAGGTCTTTTATTTACATTAAATATATTTATATAGTTCAATGTATTATTATTATTACTAGTTTTCTGCTAAAAAATTCAATGTTCCATCTTTTAGGAACAGCTGCAACCTTCGACAGACATATTTGGTATAACACTTAGTACTAGATTATGATTGTCATCAAAATATAATAAACTTAAGGAACTCATCTTTGTTGGCGAGCAACACGGTGTTGCAGACGTAGTTAATGCTGCTAAATGCGTGTGCGGATATTGTTCTAAATAACCAACTTTACAATCACCACTGCAGAAAAATGCGTCGAATGAAGTTGGCGCTACCACAAAATGCCATCCGAAGCTGGTAAAGTTAACTTTGAGAGGATACCGACAGCAACGCAGATCATGATCATTTTCTGTGCAATCCATAAAAACACTTCTTTTTCTTCGATGCTTCTTTTGGGATCCAATTTCTATATGCACGGTCTACAAATTAAGATAAAATATGTTTTTTATAAATAAATTTTAAATAACAAATTTATGGTTTTAACGTATTTTAATACATGAATAAAATAATGTAGTCCGATACTACCTATAACAGAAGAGACAATTGAATGTTTTAACCAGATAACTAGACGGACAGACAAGATTTTTTCTTTATATTTTACATCTTTCATCTAAAAGATAAATCGTTTAATAATGTTAATGGGTTAGTTTAACTTTTTTAGTAAATGAAGCGAAAACTACAAGCTGTTGTCTCACCAATGGATTCTTTGACGCCGCGTTATCGATGGTCACAACTAACGGCTTCATCCAGAACTCGGCACCTTTGATTATAATCTCCTGAGTCTTATTTGCTCCAGGTTCAACACCAAAAAATGATTTTAACAAATCAATATTGACCCATTCACCTAGTCCCGATGGAATCCTCTGTCGAAATTCAAATATTTTGGCTTTATGAGTAATACTTGAGTTGTTTGACCGTCGAACTGCCCGGTGTATCGTTACAACTATATCTTTGCTCTGTTGCTTTTCGATCTCTTCGATAAGTTCTGGCTGATGTGCGCTAATCCAATCCCATCCACGTAGATATAGGTGAAGCGTAGCATATGATAAGTCAGTGTAGCTATTGTCAATTTTAAATCGCAGAAAATCAGCCTTTGGTTTGTTTCGATTTCGATTGTTTCGTGAGTTTGGCTGGAATTCTAGATAATATAAATAGAAAATATACTTTAAAAAGTATCCGACAAATTTAAAATCAGCTATTTAGATAAGGGCAAGTCCTCAGGATGGTAAATAACGATTGAAAACGTAATATTATGATAATAATCATATAATTTTGTGCGTTTCCTACAAAAAATTAAAATGAAAATAAAGGTATTAAGATATTAAGATATTAAGATATTAAGATATTAAGATATTAAGATATTAAGATATTAAGATATTAAGATATTAAGATATTAAGATATTAAGATATTAAGATATTAAGATATTAAGATATTAAGATATTAAGATATTAAGATATTAAGATATTAAGATATTAAGATATTAAGATATTAAGATATTAAGATATTAAGATATTAAGATATTAAGATATTAAGATATTAAGATATTAAGATATTAAGATATTAAGATATTAAGATATTAAGATATTAAGATATTAAGATATTAAGATATTAAGATATTAAGATATTAAGATATTAAGATATTAAGATATTAAGATATTAAGATATTAAGATATTAAGATATTAAGATATTAAGATATTAAGATATTAAGATATTAAGATATTAAGATATTAAGATATTAAGATATTAAGATATTAAGATATTAAGATATTAAGATATTAAGTTATTAAGATATTAAGATATTAAGATATTAAGATATTAAGATATTAAGATATTAAGATATTAAGATATTAAGATATTAAGATATTAAGATATTAAGATATTAAGATATTAAGATATTAAGATATTAAGATATTAAGATATTAAGATATTAAGATATTAAGATATTAAGATATTAAGATATTAAGATATTAAGATATTAAGATATTAAGATATTAAGATATTAAGATATTAAGATATTAAGATATTAAGATATTAAGATATTAAGATATTAAGATATTAAGATATTAAGATATTAAGATATTAAGATATTAAGATATTAAGATATTAAGATATTAAGATATTAAGATATTAAGATATTAAGATATTAAGATATTAAGATATTAAGATATTAAGATATTAAGATATTAAGATATTAAGATATTAAGATATTAAGATATTAAGATATTAAGATATTAAGATATTAAGATATTAAGATATTAAGATATTAAGATATTAAGATATTAAGATATTAAGATATTAAGATATTAAGATATTAAGATATTAAGATATTAAGATATTAAGATATTAAGATATTAAGATATTAAGATATTAAGATATTAAGATATTAAGATATTAAGATATTAAGATATTAAGATATTAAGATATTAAGATTGTTGGAGGGGGGCGGCTTTAAGCTGAAATGCACTCGAAATAAGAACACGGAGACTTATCGGGGTGTTACGCGACGGGCGTCGATGTCTTTATTTGATTAGAAGTAAATTGGTACTGGTCAATACAAAAGAAACTTAAGCTAGGGAGAGCGGATTGGAAGCTCTAGGACTGGAAGTCCGGAGGAAGAGGGAGAGAAAAGGAGAGCGTTCGGGATCACACTGCCTCCCGAAATTGAGCGCCTTTCTGGCGTGAACATTCTCCCCCCCCTTGCGAGGATACGCAGCAAAAGTACCAGGAAGTATTAGCTCTGGAAAGCGTAGGATAACGCTGAGCGTTCGTCGGCATGTAGAAGGGTGTGGTGATCCTGTCCACACGACTGGCATCGGTCGCTACTTCGACAGGATCCTCCGGAATGGTGGTGGGCCAGGCAGTTGACGCAGTACTTCCTGTCGATGACTGTCTGGAGCCGTTTCTTCGCATCAAGCCGGAGAAAACGGTGGCACTTCCGAAGAGGATGGTTCCCTTGGCAGACTCGGCATTGGTAGGATAAAATACCTCGGGAACGTCTGCTCTTGCTGTCGTCGTACGGAACCCAGTAATTGGAATCGGCAGAAGTGGTCACTCGTGTGGAGAACGAGGAAACTCTTTGGATGGGTGCGGGAATTTGTGGTGCGTCATCACGAGGATTCGGAACACTGGATGAAGTGTTGCTTGGATGCAACAATGTGTGATGCCGACCGTGACAAATAAGACAGCTGTGGGCGCTTGTGCAATTACGGAGTTAATGACCGCTTGCAAAGCAATTTGAGCACAACTGCTTTTTCTCAATGTAAGATGATCGATCGACTATCGTCATCTGAAGGAAACGTGGACACAAACGCACTGGATGGTTCTCTGCAGAACATAAATCGCATCTTTTGGATATGGGAACAATCCGCGTACTAAAGGATTTCAGTACTCGCGGTGCCACGATGGATTTTGTCGGTTTGGACGGACTGAGGCGTAACGTAGGAGGCTGGAGAGAATCGATGGTTTCCAGAGTTCTGTGGCGCTCAGTAAGGAACGAATCAAGTTCTAGCCACGTCGGAATTTCGGTTTTATTTGGTAGGGATTGCTCCCACAAGGAGAGCGTTAGCTTTGGAAGCTTCGAGGAACACAAATAAACCAATACACAATCCCAATTATCCGTAGGAAGGCCGGACAGAGTTAGGGATGTGAGGCAATTTTGAATTGTATTCTGCAGCTCCTTCAAGGCTGCCGAGGATTCGCGTTGTTTAGTAATTTCTTCAGTTGGCTGTTCACCAACGCGCGTTTATTTTCGAAACGCTCAGATAGGTTTTCCCATGCTGAGCGGAAACCGTCGTTGGTCAGTGGCGAATTCGAAACTATGGAATGAGCTTCACCACTCGTCTTGGCATTTAAATAGAACAACTTTTCTACAGGGGTCAGCGTAGGATTGTCGATATAGACCGCTGTGAAAAGGTCTCGGAAAGTCGGCCAGCGAAGATAATCGCCCGAGAACACTTCCGTTTCGCACGGAGGAAGCCGACAGCCAGACGGAAAGGAATTTTGGGGCGCAGGAGGTTGGACTGGAGCTGCTTTAGCAGAGATCGTATCGATCTGTTCCATGAACTTGGCGGCACACCGTTCATAAATGGAATAGGTGTCGTCGTATTTTGCCTTAAGAGTAGGCAAGGTGTCTGCAGCGCCCTCTAAACCAACTGAAATTAGCTCTGAACAAGCTTCGTACTCTGTCTCGACCTTGTCCCATAGCGCTCGGACTTGGTCGAGATGGATTTGACAATAGTACTTGGATGGAGTGGGTGCTGCTGGATTGCAGACTCTGGACTCGAAGTGACTCAGACGGTCACAGATCAAAGTAAATTTGTTTGAAATTGAAGGAGCCATTTTGGATTTTTTTTTTTTTTTTTTTACAAAAATGTACTATAAATATATATTAAAATTTATGTGTCGAAGTTTGATTGGGAATTTAGGAACCAATCGGAGTCGTAATAATTATTATATATAATTAATTTTGGAAAATCGTAGTTTTCCCGTGTGGAATTTAAATCGGGAATATTTGAATTAATTCAATAATTCCGGTCAGAAGCGAAAATACGGTCACACTAATGCGGATACGGAAGCGCACTTGGATTTCTAACTTAATTAGTTAGTTGGAATTTTAATATAAAATAATTTACAAATCATTTTATTTATCTGGACTTATGTGATTGACCGGTGCTGTATTTCGGAACCAATACGTGTGTGTGTATATTTGTGCACTTGTCGTATGCAAGTGCAAAATAGCGGAGATAATGCCCATATGATACAGTAATGCAGTTTTCATTAATTAGCTACTTCATTAGAACCTTGAAAGAGTCAGCTATATTGTCATTTTGTTTGGATTTTGCTTGGATTTTGCTTGGATTATTTTGGTAATACGACTACGGTCACACCGACCGTAAAAGGTAAACAAAAAAAACGGCCGCCATTCGCGGCGTATTATTATGAATTTCTGAATTCCTCGTCGAAGTATTATTGCATAAATAAATGCAGAATCCTTTAAATTTATGTTTTTAACCTATAATGCTTAAAATTTTTTTAATTATTACAAAAAAAATAATTTTAATTAATTTTACTGCGCTAGAAACTTGCTACTGCAAAACATATTATTTTTGCTAATTTTCTAATATATTTTCAGTTCAAAAAACAAGCGAAATGATATAAAAATAAAATTCTCATTGTGAGACCATACTGTCAATGAGCTGGCTAATACATTTTTCAATTACAATTTTCTTCATTAAACCCGTATTTTGTTATCGAGTATCTAGTATATAATATGTAGATCTATCGATTATCGCGGCAATGAAGTAGCTAATGCATTATTCTAATGCATTAGAGCGCCATATAGTCGTCTTGCTCGCACTTGTGTAAAACGCTATAGCGCTGTCAAATCTTTAATGAAGTCTCTAATTAATGCGGCAGTGTCATCCCACTATAAGGAGAGGCGGAAAAAATTGCCAAATATTGGAGCGTCGTATGCAGACGATTATGTATGTATGTAAATACGTATTGCAGCTCAGGATAGAGCGAGGGAGTAAAAAACAACAAATATATGTACGAATTAAATAAATTTGTAATTTTAGTAGCTGCGGACAGTTATTGTTGTAAATTTGTAAATATAAGTTTCGGAGTGAAGTGGACTGTATTTGGAGTATGTATGTAATGTAAATAAATGCTAGCGGGAACACAGTAAACGAGAAGGAATTAAGAATAATTCGTAATTGGAAAGTTTTACTGTGGCTTAGGCATTTATTTAAACAAACACTTTATGAATTTTGGAACCCGTGGATCTTGTATAGAAATTATTTGGATATAATTTCTCGAATATGGGAAACTGTCAATGTTGACAGCGATTGTAGTCTTGTGGAGTGGACTGTATTTAATATGTATGTAAATGTAAATAAATGCTAGCGGAAACACAGTTAACGAAGAGGAATTGAGAACTATTGGAAATAAATTCTCACTGTGGCTATTGCATTTATTTACACACACAATTTGGATTTTGGCACAGATATTGAAAAATGTAGAAAACGAATATTTTGGATTTGGAATTGGAACTTCTTATGCTGCCGTAGTGTCGGATTAATCGGACTTGGATTTAGACAATAATCATACAGAGAGATTAAGACGAATTGAGCTTCGCAAAACCTAACTGTATGACCGGCAGCAATAATATAATTGAACTTATCTTGTGCGGTTTTAAAGCCACCGGAGCTGCTGGTAGATGCGACGAAAAATCCGGCTCTGATGGACCAAATGTTGGAGGGGGGCGGCTTTAAGCTGAAATGCACTCGAAATAAGAACACGGAGACTTATCGGGGTGTTACGCGACGGGCGTCGATGTCTTTATTTGATTAGAAGTAAATTGGTACTGGTCAATACAAAAGAAACTAAAGCTAGGGAGAGCGGATTGGAAGCTCTAGGACTGGAAGTCCGGAGGAAGAGGGAGAGAAAAGGAGAGCGTTCGGGATCACACTGCCTCCCGAAATTGAGCGCCTTTCTGGCGTGAACAAAGATATTAAGATATTAAGATATTAAGATATTAAGATATTAAGATATTAAGATATTAAGATATTAAGATATTAAGATATTAAGATATTAAGATATTAAGATATTAAGATATTAAGATATTAAGATATTAAGATATTAAGATATTAAGATATTAAGATATTAAGATATTAAGATATTAAGATATTAAGATATTAAGATATTAAGATATTAAGATATTAAGATATTAAGATATTAAGATATTAAGATATTAAGATATTAAGATATTAAGATATTAAGATATTAAGATATTAAGATATTAAGATATTAAGATATTAAGATATTAAGATATTAAGATATTAAGATATTAAGATATTAAGATATTAAGATATTAAGATATTAAGATATTAAGATATTAAGATATTAAGATATTAAGATATTAAGATATTAAGATATTAAGATATTAAGATATTAAGATATTAAGATATTAAGATATTAAGATATTAAGATATTAAGATATTAAGATATTAAGATATTAAGATATTAAGATATTAAGATATTAAGATATTAAGATATTAAGATATTAAGATATTAAGATATTAAGATATTAAGATATTAAGATATTAAGATATTAAGATATTAAGATATTAAGATATTAAGATATTAAGATATTAAGATATTAAGATATTAAGATATTAAGATATTAAGATATTAAGATATTAAGATATTAAGATATTAAGATATTAAGATATTAAGATATTAAGATATTAAGATATTAAGATATTAAGATATTAAGATATTAAGATATTAAGATATTAAGATATTAAGATATTAAGATATTAAGATATTAAGATATTAAGATATTAAGATATTAAGATATTAAGATATTAAGATATTAAGATATTAAGATATTAAGATATTAAGATATTAAGATATTAAGATATTAAGATATTAAGATATTAAGATATTAAGATATTAAGATATTAAGATATTAAGATATTAAGATATTAAGATATTAAGATATTAAGATATTAAGATATTAAGATATTAAGATATTAAGATATTAAGATATTAAGATATTAAGATATTAAGATATTAAGATATTAAGATATTAAGATATTAAGATATTAAGATATTAAGATATTAAGATATTAAGATATTAAGATATTAAGATATTAAGATATTAAGATATTAAGATATTAAGATATTAAGATATTAAGATATTAAGATATTAAGATATTAAGATATTAAGATATTAAGATATTAAGATATTAAGATATTAAGATATTAATAAGATATTAGATTTCTCACTTACGTTCGGGAAAAATATATATGCTGCTGATGTGTGAAAGAATGTTATCGTATTCCTCTTCTTGCCTTTCATTTACTGAATAATCCTTATTTTGATCGAAATAGCTTCGAAATTTATTTACAGTATTGGCATCATCTCCTTGCATTTGTGATGAGAAATTTTCTTCATATATCTCTTCTGTCTTTCCATTGGCTTCGACTGAAGTTGGAGATAATTCGACATACTCTTCTTCCGTTTTTCGCATAGCTTTTGCCGTTGATACGTTATAATCCTTGTAAAAATTATCTAATATATTCTGCGGCACTGAGATGGGTTTCGTTATATTTGGTAGTTTCTTTAAATTTAATCTCATGAGTATATGCATTTTGATCGATTCCAGGTTGTCAAGCTTCGCTTTCTCACGCAACTGACGATGTAGCATACTCTCGATATTGAGTAAGGTGTTGCGATAAATGGAAACCCCTTGAACGGATACAGATACCTTATTTTGTTGCACTTTCTTTTGGTAAATAGTTGTGTATTTTGTTTCAACTTGATCATGATCACCGTTGCTCGGAGGGGTCGTAAGAGATACATTTTTATTGGCATTTGAATCATCGCTAGAAGGAATTTGAAGACCTTGTTGTTGGCCATAGGCGATATGAGCTGTCGCCAAAACTAAAAGTATAACGACAGCCCAACATCGTTTTACAAGAATCTGGTGATATTTTTTTGAAGTTTGAAATACCATTCGATGTTTTTTTTTAAGTTCATTGCATTCACAGACTGAATATTCTATAATATTGGCATTTAATCTTATATAAGTGCTTTTAAGAATGGTAATTGAGTTCCTATTGTTATTATTTTGATCCAAAGTCCGACATACATTCTTCAAACCATAGTACGTTTTGTATTTCATGGTTTTTGCATATGAAAACGTTCACTAGTTATGAAAGAGGCTAAAATTGTAAGACATTTTTGTTAAAAAAAAACACGAATAAAAGTTAACTTCGGGACGCCGAATGTTTGATCCCCTTGCATTTTGCAATATAATATTTGTATATGCTGAAAAAATTTAATGTCAACGTTCATTAACTAACCCATTACATATTGTATTTTCAGTTTGACATTTAAAGCTTTAGATTTTTCTCTATAAGTTCAGATCATTTGTATGACTGCTATGATACTCGTCTGATAAAAAAAAAAAAAAAATAGCCAAATTTAAAAGTCATAATATATTGTCCTTCCTCAAATTATATACAAATATGTTAAAAAAACGAAAAACTAAAATATATTTTGTTTATTTTTTCGGTCGTTCCTATGACAGCAATTATATAAATTGGCCGATTTTTATGAAAGCTAAACCCGAAATTCAATTTTAATAAAAAATGAACATGTCTCAAAGTACATAAAAATGTATTGAAAACATGTCGGTTCCTACGCAAACTACTCCCTCAGTTTTAAAGCTATCTGAATGAAACTTTGCATATCGTCTTCGAGTCGATTCCTTGCTAGCAAACTGAACGGGAGCAAAAGTGAAGAAAACAAGCTATAATCAATTCGAAGATTGGTATTAACGGATTTGGACGCATTGGCCGTCTAGTGCTGCGTGCCGCCATCGACAAGGGCGCCACCGTTGTGGCCGTCAACGATCCTTTCATCGATGTCAGCTACATTGTTTACCTGTTCAAGTTTGACTACACTCACGGACGTTTCAAGGGAACTGTTTCCGCCGAGGGCGGATTCCTGGTCGTCAACGGCAAGAAGATCACCGTCTTCAGCGAACGCGATCCCGCTAACATCAACTGGGCCAGCGCTGGCGCTGAATACGTTGTGGAATCGACTGGAGTGTTCACCACCCTCGATAAGGCGTCCGTTCACTTGAAGGGTGGTGCCAAGAAGGTCGTCATCTCGGCTCCCTCTGCCGATGCACCCATGTTTGTGTGCGGTGTGAATCTGGATGCCTACAGCCCGGACATGAAGGTTGTGTCGAACGCTTCCAGCACCACCAACTGTCTGGCTCCTCTGGCCAAGGTTATTAACGATAACTTCGAGATTGTGGAGGGCCTGATGACCACTGTGCATGCCACCACTGCTACCCGTGGCGCTGCCCAGAACATCATCCCGGCTTCGACTGGTGCCGCTAAGGCCGTCGGAAAGGTCATCCCAGCTCTCAACGGCAAGTTGACTGGCATGGCTTTCCGTGTCCCCACACCCAACGTGTCCGTTGTCGATCTGACTGTCCGCCTGGGCAAGGGGGCTTCCTATGATGAAATTAAGGCCAAGGTGCAGGAGGCTGCCAACGGTCCACTGAAGGGAATTCTCGGCTACACCGACGAGGAGGTTGTCTCCACCGACTTCCTCAGCGACACCCACTCCTCGGTCTTCGACGCCAAGGCTGGCATCTCTCTCAACGACAAGTTCGTCAAGCTCATCTCCTGGTATGACAACGAGTTTGGATACTCCAACCGCGTCATCGACTTGATCAAGTACATGCAGAGTAAGGATTAAATACAACCGACAGACCCCGCGTCAGTAGCAGAGATAGAGGTTAAATAGCGGTTAGCCGGGAGAGATGCTACGTACATCAACTAGAAGAGCAGAGCAGAACCGGCTGGCAGCGCTGGCATCACACACAGTTATATAACAAAATAATATTGTTGTTCCCCGGTGAAGCAGCACCACATAAATATACGCAAAATTCAAGATTATTTCTTCTCTTAAAGCTACCAACAACATTAAAAAAAAAGTCAAAACCAAGAAATATATAATATATATAAATATACATACATCCATATACTCTCACTGCTATATATGTCGGAACGGGCCGAATCGGACGACTATATCATATAGCTGCCATACAAATGTTCGATAAATTTTTAGAAAAAAAATTATAACTCGGCTGTTTTTAAAAATTTTTGAATCATTTTTGGGATATGGCCATTTTATATTATTCCAGAATTTTGGTTATCATATAGCTGCCATAGGAACGATCGGAAAATTAATAGAAAAAAAATTATAACTTCGTTGTTTTTCAACATATTTTCATCTACTCTGCGATATGAGCTTCTGTTATTATTTCACAATTTTGGTATAAATGTTATGATGCGATCGGTAGATGTAGAGAAAATTTAAAGCTGGGAATGTAAAACTGTAACTGTCGAACTGTAAACATAATAAGTATAGGTAAAATGTAATGAAACTCTTTGTGTGTGACTTCAGCATTAGAATTTATAATATAAATATCAAAACCAATCTGCAAGGGTATACAAACTTCGGCGTGCCGAAGTTTCCTTTCTTGTTTTTTTTTTGATTTGATTAAATAAAAAAATTTTCAAAACCATCTTTTTTTTAACCAACCCTAAGGTACCAATGTACTGATGACGTTCAACTATGCTTAATAACTTTCAAGCATGGTGTTGTGCTAACTTATTACATCTCAATAGATCTAAACTCAAACTTAAAGACTGCTCTCTGTAAAGAATAAACCTTGTTCACCATTTTGGTGTCTATCTAGATCCCAAACTTTCGTTTTCTGAGCATATTTTTTGCATGGTTAAGAAAGCCAGAGGCATGCTTGGCAGTGGTCGAAGTAATTCAATTCCATTTACTTCGAAAACTCTTTTTACTTCGTTAGTTGGCCCAATATTGGAGTTTAGTATCGGCTAAATCGGCCTATCAGAAGTGGATGAGGTGCCCTTATATCGGTCGACTCCACTATCACGTCCGTATTGATAACTTTCGAGGAGTTCAACGATGTTGAACTTCTTTGCGTGAAGCTATCAGTCAATGGTAGTTCCATTTTTATTACATGTTCCTACATTCCTCCATTGTCGGAACTTGCTATTTATTGGAACCATCTTTCCGCTATACAGTTGATTTTCAAAAGACTTTCAGATAGGGACCACTTAGTAGTTCTTGGTGATTTTAACATCCCAGGGGCTATTTGGTCCCTAGATAATTCCACTAATACACTTTTACCACAACACATCATAATTTTATTGCTGGCTTGTTTGACATTATTCTGTCCCAAGTCAACCATGTACAAAACTCCTAGAGCGCTTGCTTGATCTTTGTTTTGTCTCTGATCCGGCAAGAGTTAGTTACTGACTCCGTTAACTATTCTCTTCTTGTTCGGAAGCTCGACTTAATAGGATTTTCGATTGATCATCTTAATTGGATCTCATGTTATCTAAATGGCAGGACGCAAATTGTAAAATATACTTTCTAATGCTCTTAGGGTGACATCTGGCGTCCAGCAAGGAAGTCATTTGGGACCCCTATTGTTTACATTATTTATCAACGATCTGCCCAATGTTTTGACTTACTCCAGAGTACTTATGTACGTTGACGATGTCAAACTTTGTGTGCTATATTAGGACGCTTCTTGCCAGTCAGAGCTACAGACAGATCTTAACAATTTTCAAACATGGTGCCGCGTGAACTTATTAAACTTAAATGCAAGCTAATCACATTCTCCCGTGTCGTTCCTAAGCAAATTATACGCTGAACTGCTGCTCTTTGGGAAGAATTAATATAGTTGATGATTTGGGACCCTAACTTGACTTTATCGATCATATTTCGTGCATGGTAAATAAAACCAGGGGTCTGCTTGGTTTCTTTTAACGGTGGTCGAAGGAATTCAATGACCTATATGTTACAAAATTCCTATATACTTCACTTGATCGACCTATCTTAGACTATCATATACTTTGAAGCCCTCAGTATGGCGTCCATAGTAAACGCATTAGAATCGGTTCAAAAGCACTTTTAAATTTCGCTTTACGCGGTTTAAACTGGGATGCAAAGCAGAGGACCAGACTCCTTCTAATTAACTTACCCTCTTTATAGTGCTGGCAAAAATTCGATTTTTTTAACTATCGATTTTTCGATGTTTTTACGGACGAAACATCGATAGTATCGATTTTTTTTTTAAATATATATAAAATCATTTCAATAGTTTTTTCTTTATTTTATGACAACAAATCGCCTGTAATATTTAATTATTTTAATGATAAAAAGCTTCAGTATTTCGTTTTTTGTAATTTTTAAAGGTGCCTTCTTCGTCCGAATTGGACACACACATACATTCACAAAAGTAAATTTGCAGGTTCTAGAACACTCATGCCCAGCCCATTACTCTAGCCGCTCGCACTGTTTTTGTATTTGCTCCTAGGCATAGTCAAAGCAATCGCCGTTTACATACATGCACGACTCACTCCATAAGCAAAGCAGATTACACTAATAACCAAATGAGACTTTCTATAGTTTATAAAAAAAAATCATTTCGGCTTCGCTTTAAATTTAATTTAAACACTTTTACTTACTTTAAACCAGCCAAAAAAACATCGATAGTCCAAACAAAAAATCTATGTTCTAAAAAAAAGTCAAACATCGATAGTGCTCCAATGTTTTGCCAGCACTACCTCTTTGCCTAATCGTAGAACCATGGTAGGTATTACATTCATCTATAGCCTTATCCGTGGTGACGTGGAAAGTGCTGACTTGCTGGGTGAGCTTAATTTTCCCGTGCCCAGTAGAAGCACTAGATCCTTTTTACCATTAGTTTTGCCCCACTGTAGAACATCCTTTGAACTGCATGAACCCTTTAGAGTCTTCTGTGCAAATTATATTGATGTGTACACCATAATGGCATAACGACATAAGTCCGACGACATATCTCCGCCCGGTACATTTTTCGGGCGGACTTTTGTCGTTTTTTTTCGGCGGAACTTTGCCGTTTTATAACGACATATCTCCACGCGGATTTATGTCGTTTGCAAGCGACATAGCTCCGCAGAATTACAAACGACATATCTCCGCGTTGAAGGAACATATCACAATTGATCGAATTTGAAAGAGTAGTATATTCTAAATATAATATAAATAAAATAATATTCTATAAGATTTCGAGGAGTAATGCCATTTTAAAACAAGAAAGGACTAGAACTTCGGCACG